ATGCCAGTGATATAGTCCCCCATGTCCTGATGCCAGTATTATGGTACCTATATGCTGATGCCAGTTGTTTTTTGTCATGTTTTTTTCCGGTAAAAACCTGATTCTCTTTCACGTACTGAGCCTCTACGCGGCGAAAGGGATCAACAGACGAAAAGTCTGGCTAATCAGTACACTTTCGAAGTTTCTCATTTGATATAATTCTTTCCAGGCTTCTTTTCCATGACTTTGATATAATTTTCCTGCAAGTTCCAAAATAAAAACTCACTATGAATTTTAAATTCCATGTTCAATCTAGTTGCAATCATCTCATTGACTTTTGCTTTCACAAAAATCTCCAACGAGCTCGCTGTGAGTCGAACCATATCGATGAGATTCTCATAATAAATCTTGTGTTCTGGTCTGACAGCACTATCAGTGACATTCTTCTCAATCCATTCCTTGAGATAATCCTGCAGCCGGAACACCTGTTTCGTAGGCATATACGTGGCAATAGCGTTGATATCAGCACCGCCCAAAGCCATATAAGATGGGATTCGTTGAAGATTTCCATATTGCACCGACAGAAGGTGCATTCCGTCGAGGCTGTAATCGTCCACTGCATCCTCTTGTAGACCTATCGGTTTGGCGCCTTCGAAGAAAATACGTTTTTGGCATTCGGCACCGAGCTTCATGCAATGGAAATAGACGTCATCGCGGAATGGTCCGTCGTCTGGAAAAAAAATCGTCTGGAGCTTTAAAAAAAACATTAAAGGTGGGGGGACAGGAGATTTTTCGTAGTTTTTTTGTAGCTAGAGTATGCATTCTACCGTCACGGTGTACAACGCTTAATGTCACTCTGCGTACAGCTGTCGTCCTCGCCTTTATGTATGCAATCGGGCGTCCGCTTTCTTTTTTCCGCGTGGCTCAGTCGGTAGCGGCGCCGCACCCTTACTCCTCGCCTTCACAAGTTCAACTCCTCGAGGGGCATCTTTGAACGGAATTTCGAGAACATTTTTTTTTCATGTCTCCCCACCTTTAATCGAATTTTGATGTTTTGGAACGGGATTCGGAACACATAAACATTCAAAATCGAAATATTCCGAAATTCTAAATTTTTCAAATTGAAAACTTTACGAAAATTTCCAAATCATATTCCCGAATTCCTGAAATTTCAAAATCTCGAAAATTTCAAATTTTTAAAATCAGAATATGCCAAAACATTCCGAAAATACAGAATTTTGAAAGTTTGAAAATCGAAATTTCCGAATTTAATTTTCCGAAATTTCAAAAACCAAAATATCCCGAAGTTACAATATCGGAAAATTTCAGAACTGTCCGATTTCTAAGGATTCGGAGTTCCAAAGATTTTCAAAATTAAAAAAAAATTTTAACTGGAATCGTCCAAAATTCTGAAAATTTCAAAATTGCAACATTCCGAATTCCAAAAAATTTTAAAATCTGAATTTTAAAACTCGAAAATCCCAAAATTTTGAAATTCTGAAAATCGGAAAATTCCGAAATTTTAATAATCTGATTATTCCGCAATTCAGATACTTTTCAAATATGAATGTTCCGAATTTTCAAAATTTTCAAAATCGAAAAATTCGGAATACTCCGAAATACCGAAACCCGATTTTAAGATTTTAGGAATTTCGGGGAAAACTTCCGATTTTGAATGTTCCGCAATTTTTCAAAGCGGAAATTTTTCGAAATTCGGAGTTTTCAAAATCAGAACATTTCGACGATCCGAAAACTAACCTCCATCCAATCCATTGTAATTCCTCTTCGACGATTCGATGAACCTCAGCCTACTCGGCACTAACTCCATAAACAACTTCATCCAAGTACACTTCCGATGGTCCTCACAACACAGCGACGTCTGCTTCCGAACCTTCCCCCATGTTCTCGACTCATCCGCCTCTACCAGAGCCAATCCCTTCGGATCAGCATTCCATTGTCGATGTTTACAGTAAGATATGATAAAGACAATCAATGCGTATCGATGCGGATCGAAGACTCCTTTCTTTGGAATATTGGCTTCGAATAGCTCCTTGAATCTGGAGTTGTCGTCGTAAGAGTAAGCGTTGACTAGTTCTGGTAGCAGAGTCTCTAATCGCTTTTTGAACGGGTGCTGGATCTTGTTGATCGCCTCTTGATTCTCTTCTGCTATTTTCTTGAAGTCCGATTGTGTTCGAATCTTGTTCTTCACTATCATTTTCTTCTCTTCTTTCGGATATTTTCTGATTACCGCTGCCGGAAAACCTTTTTTCACTAAAGAACACTTTTCGAAATTCTTTCCGAACAGTTCCAAATCACATCGCTGATTAAAGAAGTCGTTGAGACATTCTGCAGATTGACATCGCCGATGTTTCCGTTGGTCTAGTGCCGTGGAGAAAGATCGGGACCGTCTAGAAGCTTCGATTTGTACCGGGAACTCTTCTTTCATCTCGATTTTGAGCTTCTTCATGTATTTCTGAGCGGTTTCAATGTGTTTTTCTAGCTTTTCTTGGCTATTTTCTTCAATTTCCTCCTCTTCTTCTGATGTGGTACATGACGAAATGGTACTATTCTGGCTTGATTGGGCACTCGGAACTGGGATCGGTTGAGGGGGAATTGCTTCATACCCTCCGTCGGAATTCCTCTTGATTTTGATCTTCATACAGCTATCAGTGGAAATGGATCTTCGAGGAGGTTCTGACTTTGGAAGTTCGAAATTTCTAACAGGCTGTGGTGAGACGTCGTCATATCCTGGAGTTCTCGGCACTGGAGCTTCTTGTTTCTTCTTTTTAATTCGTGGAGATTTCAAATCCAGTGGTTGGATTCCTGGACGAGCTTGTCTTGTTTTCTGAAATTTTCGGAATTTCGTAATTAAAGTAAATTCCAATTTTAAAAATTTCAGAATTCTACAACTTCGGATTTTCGGAATATTTTGTATTTGAAAATCTTTGAATTCCGTAAATTTCGTAGTTCTGAAAAATTGGAATTTCGGGGTATTATGCTTGTCTGAGAAAAAAAAAGGTTAGAGAGTATTTTTTGCAGTCTAAATACGGTAGCGATATCGAAGCGGAGAGCCTAAATAGCACACATAAGGAGGAGACGCAGACACTTTTTCTCTGCGTCTCAACCTTTTTTTTCTCAGACAAGCATAATATTTTGAGAAAAAAAAAAGATTTTTCCTCGATTTTTCGCAAAATTTTCAGACCTTTTTTGGTTTTTCTGCTGTTTTTGATAATTCTTTTTTGATTCTTCTGGTTTTTTGTCTGAAATTTGACAGGATAGTGTTCGCGAAGATTACTGTAGCCATCGAATTTCTTTTTTAGAGTTTTCTTGCAAACACAATCAGTTTTTGACGTGATTCTGAAAACTACAGACTACAAGAAAATTCGTTTCCTACAGTAATCTACAGTAATCTTCGCGAACACCATGCTGTCAAATTTCAGGCAAAAATTCGGAAAAATCGAAGAAGAATTATCAAAAATAGCTGAAAACCCTAAAAATGTCTATAAATTTTGCGAAAAATCAAAGAAAAATTCAAAATTTTTTTCTCGAAAAATAGCTATTGTCTGAGTTTTCAGTTTTTGGCGGGAATTCAAAAAAAAAGATTCGAGAACATTCTTAAAGTTCCCAGAAATGAACGAGGAGCGATTTTTCGAGATTTGTCAATTTTTAGAGACAAAAATAGTCAAAATCGGGTCATCGAGTTTTGGCCCCGCCCACTTTGAAAAAAGTCGAAAAAGCGAAATTTTGAGTGAAGCTCCGCCCACTTTTGAACAGATTTTCTGAATAAAAACAGAGAAGTTAGGCTCCGCCCACTTTTAAGAACAAAAAAAGAGTATTGTGTGAAAATCAGTTCTAGTGGATTTTAGCTCCGCCCACTTTTGAGCAAATATTCCACATAAAAGTTCTGATATTAAGCTCCGTCCATAATAAAACATTTTAAAATTTAGTGCTAGAAATAACCTCCTTGTCCCCGGATTTCAAACTGTCGTTGCTGCTAGAACTCATCGAAGACGATGCTCCGTGGTTCCTGGACGGTGGTGATCTGCTGTCGGCGGTAGAGGTCTGAAAAATTCAAAACTTGGAAAAAACAAAAAGCCAATTTTACCGTCTGAACGCAGATGCTAGGCGATGGTTCTGGAGTCACCGAGCGTTTTCTCTTGGGAATTCTGTATTCTGAAGATCGTGATGGTCCTTCTCCATCCGACTCCCTTTTCTTCTTCTTTTTCTTCTTGAACAACCGTTCCGGATCATCTGGAGTCACCATTTTCTCCCTAGCAGCCTCTCTTCTCCTTCTCTCTTCCTTCTGTCTCAGCTTGTTCATCCTTTCCAGCCTCTCTCTTCGCTCCCTCTGCTCCCGCTTCTCCTGTGGACTCAACAGATATCGATAACCCTTCACTTTATCCGCTGCCAATCCCAGATTCCTCCATACAGCACTTCCGTACGTCTTCTCGAACTTTTGATGTCCTTCTGGCATATTGTGTTCAGCCTTGTACACGGCCAATGGACCAGTCTTTTTGAGGTTCGACTCGGGTTCCCATGTTCGGTCTTGGACGGTGTAGCCCTTCCAATGCACGAGATACGCGTATTTCGAGTGTTTGAATTTGCCTTGATCCACCGAGTCTGGACTGAATTTCGCTTCGGATGCTAGCGCTTTGTCGATCAGCTTGTCAAACTCCATTCGATGCAAAATTGCACCGATCTCAAACTCTTCTTCTTCGTCGGAGGACATTTTTCCTGAAAATTTTTCGTTTTATCTGGGATCGGGGTTGTTCGGAACGGAATTTTTACGATTTTTTTCTGCGGAATTGGAAATTTGTGGACTACAGTATTTTAAAGGCGCACGCGTAGAATTTTCTTGTGGGTCTCGAGCGGAATCACATTTTTGACAACTTTCATCAATGTTCGACGTTTTTGAAATGGAAATATGGAATTTTTATTATAAAATTCGAATGTTAAAAATTCCAATTTTTCAAAACTGGAATTTTCAGAAAATTTCCAAATCGTTACATTCCGGAATACTAGAATCCTTAAAATCGGAATTTTCGGACATTTTCGAAATTAAAATATTCCAAAATTTCCATACTTGTAACGGGCCTTTTTCCCGAATTTCGGAGGCCCGGCCCGGCCTGTCATTCCACAAGTTTTGAAAATTTCAAAAAACACATACGGGGGGACCCTTATGTGATTTTTTTCGGACAAAATTTTTTTTCGAGTTTTGTTGATATTTTTGATCAAACAGACAAACAATCCAAAAACAAAAAAAAATAATGGAGAAAATTGTATTGAGAGCTCAAAATTCGGCTCGAAATGACAAAATTTTTGCTACCGGGCCGGCCCGGAATTTTACAAGTATGAAAATTCCGAAATTACTGAAACTTTTAAAAATCGAAAAACTCTGAAATATCTTAAAAATGGAAAATTCTGCAACTTTGAAATTTTGAAATTAGGAAATTCCAAATTTTTAAAAATCGGAGCATTCCGGAATTCCGAAATTCTTGAAATCAAAATTTTCGACATTCCGAACATCTGAAAAATAGCAAAAAAGAAATAAACGACACAATCTGGGAACGGGACGACAGATTGAATTTTTAAAGAGATAAAAAAAGGTTGGAAAGCATCGAATCGTATTTATATAAATGCTGCTCCTGACTATTTTCTTTTTCATGTGACAACGTTTCTCTTAAACACAAAAAACACCTAAAACCTTTTTTGAAAAACACACTTTGGGATGAGAGAGGAGAAAAAAAAGGGTTCAACGGGGGACAGAAGAGCAAAAAAGAGAGAGATCATGGCGAAAAACGGGGCTAAAAACTAGAAAAGCGGGAGGCTAATAAGGTAAATAAATAGGAAAATCAAAGCTGATAAATGAAATATGAAATAAGGAGAAACAAAAAGAAAATATTTAGGTCCTAATCTATACATTGCAATTTATAAAACAGAATCCTCGGCGGACGTCTTCTACCAAACTTGTGTCTCTCGAACTTCGCTGATGATGACACTGGCCTGTTGAAGAGCCTTCATCGTCTCCAGAGTGTCTCGTCGTCTCTGAGCCATATCCTCAGTTTCTGCGAGCAAATCGTCCATCTCGTCAGGTTTGTAGAGTTGGCGAACGAGTTCCGATTGTAGATTATCGCGAACAAAGTTGACGAGCAAAGCCATAATGGCCTTCGGTACGGTATCCTGAATGTTCTTTCGAACGATCAGGAAGTAGTTTCTGATGAGACGTTCGATAATGACGACGTCACGCTTTTCACGACTTGTCAGCTGACGGCCCAGTTGGGTTTCTGGGATTTCTGGCAGGAAGTTTGCAGTGTTCTCTGAAACTTTGGAAAACCGTTTTTTGAGCAAAAAGGTATATTGGAACAAAAAACCGGAGCTGTGTAAAAATAACGCTGATGGCCGTGACCGGAGGTCCTAAAACGAAAACTACCGTAACCTAGAACCATAGTTACGAAACAATTCTTAAAATTCCAGTTTTCCCCCATCAACAGAACCTCGATTTGACGTCTTCTGGTCAAAATTTCAATCGTCTCATCGCTTTAATCAAGTCAATGAGATAAGAGACAACTTAGAACTAGGACGTTTTAGAACTGAGACGGTTTAGGATTTTTTGTTTTCGAAAAACCCAAAACTCGAAAAACCATCAGAAAACTCGAAAGTTCTAAAATGTCACAATTCTAGAAAATCATGGTTCTAGTTTCATTTCAGAAATGTGACGGTTCAGAATTTTTTTAATGTCTTGGCAGTTAAGAAACGTCGCAGTTATAGAACGGTCTGGCTCTAAAACGTCGCTGTTCTAGAACGACATAATGCTGAAAGGTCACAGTTCTATGAAGTCACAGTTCTGAAATGTCCCAGTTCCAGAAACTCGTAGTTTTTTAACGATATGGTTGTGGAACGTCAGTTTTAGAACGTCATGGTTCTAAAACGGTCAAGTTCTGAAACGTTTCGATTTTCTTCGATTTGCTGTGACTTTTTTCTATAATATTTTTAGGTTATGATAGTTGTCGTTGTGGAACCTTCGGCCACAGCCACCGGCATTTTTCTTCCACCGCTCCAATTTTGTTCTGAATAACTCACTCTCTTGTGGGGACGACTTGTTGCTAGAAGTGGTGTTTCCGAATAACCCGAAGATCGAAGAAGCACGTGGATTTTGTGGTTGTTGCTGTTGAAGAGCAACATTAATATCGACACCGTTGACTCCGGGCACTGGATTCAATTGCTGTAATTTAAGATTTTTCCATGATTCCCATCGAAACTTCGAGAACAAGCCAAAAGAAAACAACACGCAACATGCCCAAATTACAACCCGAACCTGTTCTCCATGAGCACTGACCGCTCGCTCTCCAGTTGACGCGTGCCTGTTACGGCTACGACCGTGACGATCATCCAGGGAGAGCTCCTCCTTCAAAAGTGTCACCAGATTGGCCTCTGTGAATTCCGGATGCTTTGTGTTGATGTAGGCGAGCTCGATGGCTACGAGATTCTCGACAAGCTCGTTAGTTGGCTTCAGACGCTCCTTGAGAACTCCACTGACGACTTCATTGATTTTATCGTAGAGACGTGGGAATCGAATCATCTCTTGCTGAGTGGTGAATCCACAGTGCTGAACCATTCTCTGCATCTCTTCATGAACGAGCTCAACGCATCTCAACGATGGTTCTTCCAATCGTTGAATTTGTCTTTTAACCAGAAGTTCGAAAGACACTTCTGGAACAAAAAGCGCTGGTCGTGGTCCAGTTGCATTTCTAATCGCAGTCAGAATATCCAGTTGTGTGAGATTTTCCAATGGATTCACTGACTCTAACGATCTTCCGAATGTATCGTGGAAGATGTATCCTATACGAGCACCTCCGCAGAGTTCGGTTGTTTCGATATTACGGGCGGTCCCTTCGATAGTAGATGTGTAGGCCGTGGCAAAGCGAGTTATGATTTGAAGCAGAGTTCTATTCTTGTCCTCAACTGGCTCTCCGAATGCGACAAGATCCGATTGACACTGAGCATTCATAATGGAGACGCGAGCCTTGAGAGCTGGAAGGCAGTTACGGATGTGGTGCATTAGAAGCATATTCAGTCTCTTCGCCAAATAATGAGTTCCATTTCTGCTTGCCAGTGTTGGATATTTCTTTTGCAAGAACGTTTGCTCATCTTTAACTGCATCACTGATAGCTTTGTTATCCAGAATGTTCTGTTGCGATCGATTGACGACTCCGATGATTCCCAACTTCACTGGGATCACTTTTCCCATCAAAACATCCATCGCGTCGGTTCCCTGATCCATCAAATCTAGTTTTGTAAGAACTGCCAGCGTTCGCTGACCTCCTGCATCCACTTCCTTGCCAGTTTGATAGGCTCAGAGGTGGCAAAATCCTGGTTAGCTGGAGTAACCGCAAGGATAATCGAGGATGGGTTCGAGATGTAGTGAAGGATCATGTCTCTGATTTGCTCTTCAATATTGGCTGGTTGATCTCCAACGGGGATTTTTGTGATTCCAGGAAGATCCACAAGGGAGAGGGAGACGACTCGATGGGAATATATTTTCAAACTGATCGGGAGAAGAGAGATTCCCTTGTTCACACCGGTCACTCGATCGGTTTCGTCCTCGATTTCTTTGCGAACAGCATCGAAATCTGTAATTAAAAGAACTTTTCGAATTTAATAAAAATCTACAAATCCTACCTGTGAAAACTTTCGATCCAGTATGCTCAAACATCGCCCAATCATCGTTAAGCAGTGTTCCATTTGACCTTCTTCTCTTCGACTCTTCATCCAACGCTACGTGATTCAACTGAAGAATCAGAGGCCGACGAGTGACGATTCCAGTACCACGTGGCAGGAAATCCCGCCCCACGAGATTCTCGAGAACTGACGATTTTCCGGCGGACTGGGAGCCGACGACTACAATTTGTGGAAGTTGTATCTGATCTTCTTTCCGTCCAAGTGTCGCGAATACATTTTGTAACTTGTTGACGACTGGAATGAGATTTTCCATCTGAAAAATTTGGAAAATTGATGATGGGAGAGGAGAAAAGGAATATTTTGAAATAACAAAGTGTCATACTCATAGTAAAAATGATGTTTGGAAGGTTGCGAAATGGATGTGTTTGTGTAAAGAAAGACAAAGAACAACTGCCAGCCACTAAACTTTGAAAACTGATAGATGTAGTGATAACGAGTGATAAAAATGCAAACAGAAAGAGTGCACTTGACCATTCATTTTCTAAACTCAGAACGTTCGGTTTTTATACCATCTTTTCAACTCTGCTACTCACTGGGAAAATTTTAAGTTTCGAGGTTTTATGATAAAGTTTTGCATCATTCTACGCAGTTTTTCTTTTTGAAATTTGACATAAAGTCAAATTTGAAAAAAAATGATAAAAACCTGAAACCGGAAGATAAACAAAATCCGCCTCCGATATCCGATATTTTTCCGCAGAGAAAAATCTGAAATGCCGCAAACACGACAGCGTCATATTGCAGACAAAGCGCACAATCCTACGACAAATTTACCCGTGTGATCCATATTTTTCTGGAATTTCGATAGAAGTTTGCGAGTGAAAAAAAGATAATTTTGGCCGAAAGGTCTTCAAAATGGAAGCGCAGGCTAGCCAGTTCCGTTCTGTCGTTTACAATGCGGCATCAGCTGGACAGCTGCCTCGAGTAAAAGTGAGGAAAATATTTTTTCAGAATTTTTTTTATAAAAAAAGAGTTTCAGATTTTCACATCAAACAGAATACATGATGCAGAATGGATTTGTGAGTGCTTGAATCACAATGAGAACGATCGATACCCCCTAGTTGCTGCTTCAAGGCACGGGCACACAGATGTTGTGGAGTATTTGGTTGGATTTTTGGATTTCTAACTAATAAGTAGATTTATTATTTTAGCTAGACATTGGTGCCGATCCATCTGTTCGTGGAACTGTGGAATTCGACAATGACAATATTCGTGAGTAATAATTTCCCTTCAAAAAAAAAACATGATTCAGAAGGAACACCTCCTTTGTGGGCTGCCGCTGCCGCGGGACACCTAGATGTGAGTCAAAATTCTTAAGATTCTGTGAAAAATGAATTTCCAGATTGTAAAACTTCTGGTGGAGAAAGGACATGCCGATGTGAATCAAGCCACAAATACGCAAAGTACACCGTTAAGAGGAGCCTGTTATGATGGTCATTTGGAGATTGGTAAGGTCTTTTCTTGCTTTATTTTGTGCAGAAAATCATGTAGATTCTCCCAAAATGAAGAAAAAATTCAAAAAAGGTCAAAATCTCGAAGAATCGTTTTTTGTCCATTTCTGGAAACTTCTGGAAGGTTCTTGAATCTTTTTTGAGTTCCCGTCAAAACTGGAAACTCCGAAAAATTAGCGAATTTTCGAGAGAAACATTTATTTTTCCTTCGATTTTTTGCAAAATTTCAAGACTTTTATGGTTTTCAGCTATTTTCAAAAATTCTTTTTAGATTTTTCCGGTTGGTTTTCTTGTCTGAACTCTGATGGAACGTCGTTTTGATTACTATTACTATAGGAAAATCTCAATTTTGTAGTTTTTTATTTTGCAGAAAAACGTGATTGTATTCGCAAAAAAAAAAACTGCGAAATAGAAGGTTTTCTACAGTAATCTATAGTAATCTTCACGAACACCATATTGTTAAATTTTAGACAAAAATTCCAAAAAATCGAAAAAGAATTATCAAAAATAGCTGAAAAACCTAAAAAGGTCTGAAAATGTTGCAAAAAATCGAAGAAAAAAACATTTATTCTCTCGAAAAATCGCAAAAAAACCGCTAATTTTGTCAGAGTTTTCAGTTTTGGCGGGAATTCAAAAAATATTTGAGAAGTTTCCAGAAAGGTGCTTCTGTGAAGCAAAGCAATAAAAATTTCACAGAACACCACCTTCAAGCATTTAAAATAGAGGCTTAAAATTGCCGTTTTCCAGTGCAATACCTACTCGAGAAAGGCGCCGATCCACACATTCCAAATCGACACGGACACACTTGCCTTATGATCGCAGCGTATAGAAATAAGGTGAGTAAGAGACGTTGGCTAAATGGAGCCGGCTAATGCTCCGCGCGTTGCCAAGCGAGCGTTGCTCCGCTCTGACATCCCTATTCCTCTGTCCTGAGCCAAAATTTTTAATTCTTCCAGATCTCCGTTGTCCGTCAACTTCTCGCCACCGGAATCGACGTCAATTGCCAGACAGAACGTGGCAATTCAGCTCTCCACGATGCTGCTGAATCCGGAAACGTCGATGTCGTGAATATTCTTCTGGATCATGGAGCAGTCATGATGAAGGATATCCAAGGAGTTGATCCTCTGATGGGCGCTGCACTATCCGGATTTCGAGACGTTCTCTATGTACTTGCCGATAAGATGTCTTCTGCGATTCACAAGAGAGATGCCTTGAAGCTTCTTGGATCCACGTATCTGGATAAGAAAATGGACGCAATGACGGCAATGGAGTGTTGGAGACATGCGATGGATGTTCAGTTGCATTCAGATGAGATTCGGGCGATTCGAGAGTTGGAGACGTTCTTTGAGCCGAAAGAAGTCTATGAATATCAACGGGAAGCTCATAATAGCTATCAGATAGAGCAGTTGGATGGTAATATTGAAGCACAGAGAATGCAGGTTGGTCCCTTTCCTTTAAAAAAAAAGTCTGGCGGCACTGTCAAAAAATCGGTCAAAAAGGTCCTTTAAGTCCTAGATAAACTGTGGTTTTAGGGATTCCTCTAATCCTCTTCTTTTGCCTCACTATTCCAACGCTCTTTTGACCACTCAAGAGGTGACGAGGTATAAAAAGATGTTTTCCGGCCAATTAACCGTACCCCCTTTTTAATTGGTCCCTCTCTTGCCGATTTTCCCAGTCTATTTTCTATATGTCTCAAGTGATGTTCCGGCGGCATCGTTCACATGAATCTCAAAACGAGCTCTTTTCCTTCCGAGAGAGAGAGACGCAGACAGACAAAATGGGTACTAATTAGTGTGACACGCAACAATGAAGTGACATGTCCACCCCGTTTGAAACTGAGAAGAAGCCCCGAAGAGAGTTGATTTATGACACAATTGAGCATTCAGTTGGGGAGTACTTGGGCGGCGGATGGATCTAAAAGAGTGAGATTTACGATGATAAAGAGTCCGCTAACACGATGGTTTTGTGTTGCATAACGGAAGTTAATGTTTGTAATACGCAGAGCACAGAGCAGTCTTTTTGATTAGAAGCCGCCGACCTTTTGAAATTAGCCGAAAATATTTTTGAAAGTTAAAAAACTGGTCTTTATCAGTGTGTGATTTGCGTTACTTTTCCAAAAAGTTTATTAAACACAGTAAAACCTGTAATAGAAAGGCCCCCCTGAATGTCAGCTTTGTCAAAATTGTCAACTGATAAATTGTTTATCGCAAACATTTTATCAGTTAACACCTTCTTGATATCTTTTTTAGGAGCCGAGATAATCGAGCTCAAACTTGACAGTGTGAAGGCCCTTCTATTACAGGTTTTACGGTATACAGAAAACTTTGAAAATTAGCGGTTTTTGGCGATTTTTCGAGAGAAAAATTGATATTTTCTTCGATTTTTTTGCAAAATTTTTAGACCTTTTTAGGGTTTTCAGCTATTTTTGAAGATTCTTTTTTAATTTTTTCAAATTTTTCATCTGAAATATGACGGGATGATAGTCCTGAAAATTACTGTAAATTACTGTAGAAATCTAATTTCCTTTTGTAGTTTGTAGTTTTTGCAAACACAATCACGTCGAAATGCAGACAAAGGAAAAACCGATAACGAATCTTCAAAAACAGCTGAAAAACCTAAAAAGGTCTAAAAATTTTGAAAAAAATCGAAGAAAAAAAATTTTTTTTTCTTGAAAAATCGCCAAAAACCCGCTAATTTTTCGGAGTTTTCAGTTCCAGCGAGAACTCGAAAAAGATTCGAGAAACTTCTAGAAGTTTTCAGAAAGGGGAGAGAACTGAGATTTTTCTGCTATTTGAAGCCTTTTTTCGAGGTTTCTGGAACTTTTTTTTTCAAGAACCCTGTTACTCTACGAATCTACATGTCTGCATATACCGAACAAAATTTCAAAATACGTCCGATAATTTTTTGAAATCAGCCATTTTCGAAGAAGACATATCGGTCCCTATTTTCCATAAACTTTGGACCAAACTCCCTTTTCTCTAATAACCATATCTCCACCCTCATTAGTCACCACTCTTTGATTTGCTACCGTTTATCTAGATTACGTCATTTGAGAGCCATCATTCAAGGACACCCCCTTGATAGTCGTGAAGTATGTATGCGTTATCTGTCTCTCCCCATCAGGACCCCATCTATGAGATATCTGATCCCCTACAGGTGGCCCCTCTCAAATCCAAAAAAATACAAATTTTCAGGCTCTCGTAATTCGAGAACGTATTCTTGGTGGCGCCCATACCGATGTTCACTACTATCTGCGATTCCGTGGAGCGGTTTATTGCGATATGGGACAAATGAGCAGGTGTTATGAGCTGTGGAAGCATGCGTTGGAGTTGCAACAAGAGTATGTTGCCTTACTGTACATTTTAAGCTCAATTATCTGGGCTCCCATCAGAGATATCAAAGATTTGTCAAGTGATAAAATGTAACTGATAACATGATAAATCTTTTATCAGTTGAAAAAAATTTGATAGTTTCTGAAGGAACCGGGATAATTGAGTTCAAAATGTACGTATAGAAGGGGCTTCTATACATGATGATTTTTATTCCAGACACTTCGCTCCCCTGTACTTTGGTACCATAACCACCCTCCAATCGTTCCAAGAGACCTTCTCAATGTCCCTCAACGATTATCAAATCAACCATCAAGCCAATTTCAATCTACGTGTGAAGTTCTCCTGGGTTGAATATGTCTTCGATCGATTATGTTATGAAATGGAACGAGCTGCTGATTGGACAGGACCACCGCTTCTAGAAGATACCGAATGTTGTGGAAAAGATAAATGCACACATGCTACAGTAGACTCAGAGTACAAGAAGCTAGTTGTTGTAGCTGTTCATCTGATGAATGTCTTCGAACGAATTCAACTTCCATCGGTTCGTGGGGACGACACCGAAGAGGAAAAGTATACGAAGCTGGACCTGGCAAGATTCGTGAAAGTGTGCAAAAAGCTTCGTGTTCCGGTTCTTCACTATGCCCTTGAGGAGAAGGCTCCGGATCATAACTCGGATCTCACACTACCAAAGGCAGCAGTTCTTCAACAGCTCCTGGAGCAGGGACTCGATGTGAATGCTCCGTTTGAAGGTGGAGACATCCCGATGCATTTGACACTTCGAGCCAAGGAATTTAGAAAAAGTTTGATTTCGTTACTGCTGGATCATGGAACATGGTTGTTTGCAAGGAATGAGAAAGGAGAAATTGTCTACGAGATGATGAAGGCGTTGGAGAGAGAAGAAGATAATGATAGGAGATTCGTCACTTTTGCGGATTTGAGACTCGGTAAGGATTCTGAGAATCGAGATTCTGAAATTTAAAATTTGGAAAAATTCTGAACCGTATTGGCCTAACTTTTACACATTAAGTTTTCTAGGCCCCAATTGTAATTGGTCTGGTAATGGTCTGATATTTACCTGGTATGTTTTCTAAGCCATTTTAGGATGGCGGCTTAACTTTCCCAAAATAAATTTTCTAGGCCACCATGGTAAATGTGTTAGAAATGATCTGATATTCATGTGGTGTGTTTTCTAGATCAGTTAATATGGTGGCCTAAAAAACTTAATTTTCAAAAGTTAGGCCACCATGTCAAAATCGCCTAGTAATGACCTGATATTCGCCTGGTTAGTTTTCCAGGTCATTTTTGCATGGTGACCTAACTTTTGCAAGTTAAATTTTCTAGACCATCATGTGCTAAGTGACCTAGAAAATCCATCAGCCCTGTTCATTTCTACCCCAAAAAAAGGTGGAGGCCTAGAAAACTCAACTTGCACAAGTTAGGCCACCATGTTTAAATGGCCTAGAAAACACACAGGGTGAATATCAAGTCATTTCTAGGTCATTTTCCTTAGTGGCCTAGAAAAATCGTGTTGAGAAAGTTAGACCACTTCATTCCTCATCATTTTTCTTCTGAAGTTCTAAAAATTGAGATTCTGAAATTTCGAAGGATTTTGGACCATGAGATTCTATAGAATTCTGATTTTAATTTTCAATTTTCCCGAATACCGATTTCAATCATATTCCATTCCATTTGAAATTCAATTTTCATTTCTTTGGTTAAATATCCGTCACCCATTTTATAATCAACTTATTCTATGAATTCTCCCACAGCTCCAAAAGCCTCCAAAGGCGTTCCCCGTCCTCTCGAACTAATCACTCTCAATTATGACTTTCTCCCATTCTTTCCTTTTCCGGAATAACGTGTGAATAGGATTAAGACTCTCTCCTTCCTTTTCTCGGCTCTCTATTTAAAGGTGCATATAGGATTACCGAAACTACATCTTCCCGCACTTTAATTCATATTCATTTTCCAGGCCGCCGTATAACACTCGCCGGATTGGTTGCCAACGCGATGAGAACGAAGTATTCCGAAATTTTTGATGGAGTTGAGAGAGATTTTTCATTGGAACTCAGAAGATTTTATTTGCAACATTAGCTTTCCTTTTTGCTTTTTTCATCTTTTTATAATCGTAAAACATGTAATAAAAGGGCCCTGAACCAGTTTTTCTCGGTTCCTGTGAAAGATATCAAAAAGTTGTCAACTGATAAATTGTTAAGCATAAAATCAGGAACATTTTATCAGTTGACCGATTTCTGATATCGTTTACAGGAACTCGGCTCAAAGTTAAAGGGCCCTTCTATTACAGCTGTTACGGTAGTTTGCTTCGTTTTGGTGCTTTTTTCAAATGTCGCATTTTCACATATTTTTCCTCACCTGGTCCCTTTAATAATCTATCAAATCTCCCTAGCGATAAAAACCTCTAGAACCCGTACTCGATCAATTTAAGAATAAAATGAATACCGGTAGTTTTTGTCTCTGTTCTTGTGCCCCATCCTTTTTTTCTACTTTCTTGAATTATAATTTACCTCTTTGATATGATTATGATTGTAAAAATAAAAATGTAGATTATGTAAAATTCTAGAAAAGATTGCAATCTCGAGAGAAGATTCATAAGTTTATGGGACCCGAGAGAGAATATTAAGGGGAATAAGTAGGGGGACATTGTAGTATACTTGGATTTTTGGAAGAAAAGTTTCAGTTTCCGTTGAACTTCTGGTCTTTCTTAATTTTCGATTTCTTTGTAGAAAAAAAATCGACTTTAAAAAAAGTTTCTGTTTCAAAAAATTGGTAAAATCTACTACTTGAAATCGTTTACTAATCCACCATTCGCGAAGTTTTTGCATCTTTATATGTACTGAAATTCGAAGTTTTAAAGATCTTCTCAAATTTCTGCAAGAACTGAAAATTCAGATTTTTAGAATTTAAAAATTCAGAGTTTCGGCTTCGAAGCTTCGAAAAGAGAATTTTATAACTAAAACTTTGAAAGTCGCTCATTTCTTTTTAGGGTTTCCATGAATGTTTCGAAAAATTTTCAGATTAGAACGAAAAAAAGGTCCAAAAGATTTCAGAATTGGTTTTTGAAGATTTCAAATGACCAAAAGGTTTTTCATGATTTTCAATTTCTCCGTAGGAAAAAGTTTATGTTTCAAATAACTTCTAAATTTACTACATGAAGTCGTTCACTAATTTTTTTGACTTGATTTTCAACTATTTGAAAACGGCTTTTCGAAAAACAAACAAATTTTTTTTTAAACTGACATAACCTGCTAATTGAAACCTTTTGCTATTCCTAGAAATCAACGTCCTCCCATGTTCCATTTCTTCGTAATAATCCAAATATTTCTAAAATCCAAATATTTATCAGAAATCGTCCACATCCGGAAAATTCTAGAAAAATCTTGAATTTTTTTTCGAATTCCGGACCGAAACTCAAAGTTTTGATTTTCAAAGTTTCTCATCAGTGAAATTCCGAAAATCGAAAAAAAAGTTTTTAAAAAAGTAGAATATTTCTGAAATTTTCAAGTTTTCGGTAGTAAATCCTCGAATAAAGACTTTCAAAACCAACATTGTGAAACTTTTCACTTCCGGAAATTTGCAAATCAACGGAATATTGAAAACGATTGTAGAAACTTTCAGAAGTATTTTTCCAAAAAAAACAATAGTTTATGTTTCGGAAAACTGATGAAACGTACTACTTGAAATCGTTCACTAATCCATTGAGATTTATTGGATCCTTATACTGGAACTCAAAATGTTAGAGGTATTGAGAAAATACCGTAATAGCTGTAATAGAAGAGCCCTCTAACTTTCAACTTTGAGCTAATTATACTGGGTTTCTGTCAAAGATATAAAAAAGTTTTCAACTGATAAATTGTTTATCATACTATCAGACTTGTTTTGACAGTTGACACGTTTTTGATATTTGTCGCAGGAATCGAGATAGTTGTGCTCAAAGTCAATGTATAGGGTAGACTTCTATTAGATTAAGTACGGTACTTTATAGAAAATATTTTTTTTTTTTAAGTTTCTGTTTCAAACATCCATAGAGACTGTTACTTGAAATCGTTTACTAATCCCGACCAAGTGTGTGATCTCCCACTTTTTCTTGAAATGAAAGAATATAAAATCTTTATCAGAAGTCGTCCATTTCTGAAAACATCTAGAAGAATATTAAAACTTTTTTGGAAAACTCGAGAATTATTAGAAATTTCCAAATTGGTACGACTGTTTTTCAAATTAATTATCAGTACCTATCTGAAAGATAATTCAGAAAGCTTAACTTGCCGATTTGGTGAGCATCAAGTTTATGATTTTTTCAGAAAAATATGAGTTTAAGACAAACAAGTGTTCAATTTTGCATCGGAATTTTCGACACTTTATACTGAAATTCAATATTTCAGAGGTCTTTCAAAAATGAGCCGAATTCAGGAGGTGAGAATGCAAAAATACCTTTTTGTAGTTTCGAAAACTCGGGAAGTTGAATTCGCTGTCCGAATACTAGTTCTCCTGTGTCGCTAAACTTTGAGCTATGCAATCGAAAAGTCGGCTGTTGTGACTTTGTCTGAAAAATTGTTTTGTCTTATCTCTCCACTAGTTGAAACATGCGCTTATTCAAGTTAAGTGTCATACAAAGTCTATGAAACATTAAAATTTTCGAAAAAGTTTGGTTACACAGGAAATGTTCATTGCAGTTTCAATTGTTTTTTTTTGACCGTATGCTTCAATTTTCGTAGCTGGTGGACGTTTTAAAGGTGGGATGACATGAAAAAAATATGTCTCGAAATTCCGTTTAAATATGCCCCTCGAGGAGTTGAACTTGTCGGGGTAAACATAAGGATAGGGACGACAGCTGTACGCAGAGTGGCATTGAGTGTGGTACACCGTTACGGTAGAATGTATACCCTAACACCAAAAAACTCAGAAAAATCTCCTGTCCCCCCACCTTTAAACCAAAAATCATGATTTTCGAGTTGCTCCATGTAACCTGGGTTCCTCCTAGTTTTACGATTTTCGAAACTACCTACAAGCATTATTTACTACGCAAACTCTATACCCATTCCATTTGTTCCAATCACTTTTTCTTCTTTTTTTCCTCTTTTCTTCCTCTTTTTTCTATCCATCACCAATCACCTGGAGTCAAGAACTCTCACCTGACGATCATTGGAAAAAGTGGGCGGAGCCTTGGGAGAAGTGATGAGATGATGATAGATAAGAAGGGAAGAACCCAGAAAAAGATTGACGTTTTCCTGAAGGATATCCGTGAAAAATAACAGAAGAGGGTTTCAAATAAAATAAAAGGTTTCACCACAGAAGAAGAAATTGTTTTAAAAATGAAAATTTTTTCTTTTGAAGAGGGAATTTTTTCTTTTTGTTTGTTTATGTTTCTGCTCTTCAGAATTCTTCTTCATCCATCTTCTTCTAATTTTTAGCGGTCTTCTGAATTTCTTTTCCCTCAAAACCCTTCTGTTTGTATGTTCAACTGATTAACTGATATACTATTCATCTTCTGATAAGAACTCACATTTCGTCTCCACTACCAAATTTTATGTTCACTTTTCTCTCTCTTTATGACCAATTTGGAAAATAGGCGTGCAGGTTTTATAGATTTTTATATAATATCAAATCTATATTTAATTCTTTTTATGTATAAAAAAAAAGAAAATAAGGGGAAATTGGGGATAGCGTACTACAGAGAATTTGATAGGAAATCCAATAAGTCCCTTGTCTTTTTTCTTTCTTTTTTTTTGGACAAGAAGAGTTTTTTATTCTGATGTATCTTTTTGTTATATTGCTCTTTTTAGAATTGAAAAATTCACAGTTTCATTACTTTTAGATATTTATCCAATTTATTTTTCTTATTTTTTTAGTGATTGACTCAAGTTCTAATACGTATTTATATTTTGCGTTGTAAAAGCTCAACTTACGTAGTAATTAGCGTCAATATTATTCGAAATAACAGTAGGCTATTAAAAGAGCTACATTTCTCATATTTTAATTCGAACTCAAGATTTTTGCAATTAAAAATTTCTCTCTCTCTCTCTGACACCTCTGGTTTGACGACTGTTGAGGTGGAAAATCTGCTCCATTCAGATTTCAAAAGAAAATACGAGTTTTATGGGGAACGTTTCCCAGGAGCTAAATAAGTAGTTATTTAATTGAGTTACGTTTTCTACAAAAAAGATTGGTTCCCAATGGATTGAGAACTATCAGTCACCTCAGAGAACCTTCTTTTATTATAACTACGGTATCAATCTTTTTCTTTTCCATGATCCCTTTTCTTCCTGCTAGTCTTTTGTAAACTTTTGTTATGCTAATTTCAAGTTTTTGGTGCGCCAAGCAAGTAGGCAGTATTTCTTTTTCAATTTTTAGCCAAATTAAAATTCACAGTTTCACCCACTTGATATCAATTTGTGAAACTTTTACATTCAGTTCACAAGTAAAACACCTACGTTGTACAAATTTTAGTTCTGACTTCCAGCTTTCGAATTCGAAAACTTGAGTATCTGCAGTCTCCGGTTTCACGACTATTGGAAATATTCCAGATGAAAAACCTGTCTGGTCCTTTCAATTTTGTCTTTTCAAAAACTAATCCCAGTTTCATTGTGAACATTTTACAGTAACTTGAGTAGCGGTTATTTAATTTTGCGATCTTTCTTGAAATTACAATTATTGATTTTCATTTGTTTAGAATACCATCAATCACCCCAAAGAACCTTCATTTATTGCAACTACAGTATCGCTTTCTCAGGCGTTTTCTTCTTCATGCTCACTTTCCTTCTTACTCGTCTTTTGTAAACTCTTGTTACGCTGATTTCAAGTTCTTGGTACCTAATACCATCAGGCGGTATTCTTTTTTATCCAAATCAAAATTCACAGTTTCTGCAATTTTATATCAATTATGTAAGATTTTTACAATCAATTACGTAAGATTTTTAAAATAAATCCATTTCAGAAAGAGTTGACAGGAATTTCGACTTCCCCTTTACGACTCTCTGCTTCCGTGTTTTTTCTCGAATTTCGTCAAGAACTTTTCGCAAAAAAGTGCCAAAATTTGTTCATTTTTAAGGAGAAAAATGTATAAAATTTCGAAATTA